GAAGAGCTAAGAAAAGAAAATAATTTTTAATAAAAGGCAATTTGTTTTTTTCAGGGAAAAACCAAGAAAATAAAAATGGTGTTTTCTACTGGTTTAAAGTGTTAATACCATTACCTGAAATATCTTCTGTGGGCATATACTTTATGTCCTGTTGCACTAAGGGAGAAAAAGAAAAAACATTACTATTACAAATAAGTTTAATATTAGGCCACAGAATACATATATATATTTTTTTGAGAGTGTTTTTTTTTTCCTACAGGGTGTGTGCACTCGCCAGACAGACAGAGACAGAGAGACAGAAAGCAAGAAATCACCCCCCAGAGGGGATGGGCACGACACAATCTGGCCACGCCACAATCCCTTCTCCTCCATTCTCCTCTTGGGGTCTTGGGCACGCACACACACGGCATGAGTTTAAGTCACCGGGTCCGGGACTCAAACCACTGTTGACTATGTGGGAGTCCAGCAACATAGCCATTACACTAACTGCTGGTCCCAGGCCACAGAATATATTTTTAAGAGTATATGTTCAGGAGCCAGCAGGTGGCATAGTGGTTGAAGCACTGTACTCTCATATGGCTGACCACGGTTCAAGTCCTGAATCCAGCAGCTCCCAAGAGGAGACTGGAGGAGGAGAGATTGTGATGTGGCCATACCCCATGGGAGGTGATTTCTCACTTTCCCTCTGTCTCTCTCTGGTGAGTTCATGTGCCCTATGGCAAAAACCTTAAAAGGAAAAAAATGTATTTTCAGTTGACTTAGAAAGTTTCCAAAAATAATTTTCCAGTACTCACCAAATAAATGCTTGTATAGCATGGGGTCAGTTTCTTGTAGACAGTTTTTGAATATGGTGGCTGTAGTATTTCCTTTTGTTAAAATAGTATCAATTAGTTCTCTTGCTTGTAAAGATGTCTGTGTTTTTTGTTTAATAACATCATATTCTTGTTCATTAATCACTCTGGCAGTTAGTAGACTATTCAGCATTGGAATTACACAAGTCAGATGTTGACAGAGTGCCATTCTGTTCTTCCGGATTAATAATAGATCATCTTTATGAAAAACAAAACAAAACACAAGCGTGTTCAGACTCTGCTTTCTTCCCCACATGTATATGCATCTGCATGAAAACCATCTATAATTCAAAAATCAGTAAGGCACTGAAGCTGATGGTGACATTTGGGGATACTTGATCCCCTTTGCCTAATAATAATGCTAAGTATAATAAGGACTAACACTAAGCACTTGTTAAGCAATTTACATGTACTAACATTTCATCTTCATGACAACCATTTGAAGTGGGTATTAATAACTTCCATTTATCATGAAAAAATGAAGCTATAGTGAGGCAAAGAAGTTACCAAGAGATACATAACAAGAATCAAACTGAGGTGGTCACAGTTCATGATTTGTGCTTTCAGTCATTCTGCAATACTGCTAAGCCTTTAACCAAATAAAACTTATAGTCTAATAAAACTGAAATTTCAATTCAATTAAGTCAAATGAAAGGTTAAAAAAATCAGTAGAATGAAAGTAATTTTTTCTTAGTTATTCCTCTATAAAATTTATTTAAAATTCCATTTTGTCTAGCTGCAGTAGTGCAGCAGTAGTGGAGTGCTCTGCAATGCTGGAAGTTATATGGAAGATGAGGATTTAGTTCCCAAGTCAACTTGTACATGCATGATCCTACCTTCCCGAAAGGCTGGTGGGGAAACGGAAAGTGTAGTATGAGACTCTGTTGGAAATACTTATCTTTCTCACTGCCTCTTTCTCTGTGTGTGTCTCTCATGAAATTAAATAAACAAAAACTTCATGTTAAGTTGAAATTTCAGGTATTTCCCCAGATTAGAATATTAGCTAAATATAGTGAGGAGAGAAAGGAACTAATAGCTTTTTGAAAAATAATGCCTATTTGTCAGTAACTACCTTCTTGTCCTATAGGACCATCTTATTCTCCTTCAAGAACTAAATTTTCTATTCATTGGTTAAAAATAAAAATAATATATAAAAACATATATTCTTTTTTTTATGGCTTATGAATCTAAGTTTATTAATTATCATGTAGTTTGCCATAGTCCATAAAGTTATTTCTATAAGATAACTAATGATAGAAGTTGGACTATCCAAAGAATTATTTGGGAAGGGAAGTTTGTTAGATTTTAGACACTAACTTTATGAAATAATAGGACACATGAATAAAGCCATCTAAAAATAAAAACTAGTACATAAAAAAGTCAAGACTAGAGTTAGACATTTTGAAAATAATTGAAACTTGGAGAATAAATAAAAGGACTAAGACCTAGAATTGTGTGGTGCAAAGTCAACGCTTCATAAATAAAAAGAACAAATTAACAACTAGGCCTTATTTATTTATTTATTTGTGTTGTCAGGGGAGAGTGTGTGCTCATCAGAGAGAAGGGGAAAAGAGAAAAGTACCGTCATGGAGAATAGTCACATCACATCCCTTGTCATCCCTTGTTTTGGGGATTTGGGAGCATGCATGCATGGACATGCATGCAGCGTGTTTTCTCAAGTCTCTGGGTCCAGGATCTGAATCACAAGGTCAGCTGTGTGGCATACAGCTGCTTTAATCACCAAACAATGGAGTGAGCCTGAAGCCAAAGTCCCTTCTCCATTCTTCTCTCGGGCTTTTGGTCATGCACACACATGCACTTGTCATGAATTTAAAGACGCCAGGTCTAGAAATTTAACCGTGGTCAGCCATGTGGGAGTCCAGCACCTAAATCACCATGCCACCTGCTGGCTGTTTCTGAAATTCCTAAGATTTCTAAATTTGATTGCTAGTGGCTAAGAAGTCTCATTTCAAAGACATAGACTATATTATGCCTTGTAAATTGTGAATGTTCACATATACAAGGGGACTTTAAAAAGTTTATAGAAAAATGGCATTAAAGTACAAGTTTATTTTAGAACAAAAAATTTGAAATCCACACATGACTTTTTTCATAATACTCATTTTCTGTAAACCTTTCAAAGACCCCTTTTTGCCCTTGAGACTTATTTTATTATGGAAAAAAATCCTAAATTTATTTTTATTTACATACATGTCAAGAAATTACAGTTTTTTGGAAAACTATAATCACTAACCTAATAATTTCATGCATTCATTCAAAGGTATTTCTTGAGCACACACTGTGTGCAGACAGCTTATTAGGTAATAGACATGTAATATTAAGGCTGAGACACTAAGATCTTTTTTGACAGTGCAAAGTCATTATATATTGTTGGCTTGGAATCATTTCTGGAGAGTTGATTTTCTTTGGGAGAAATGTATTTTATAGGTGGATGGCTTAAGATTTCATGGGGTCTCTCAACAATTGTGGGAAGGAATGTTTCTTCTTAAAAAAAAAATTATTTAATTCCATTTGTTATTATTTTCCAATTTGACTAGATAGAGACAGAGAGAAAGGGAAAGTGAGAAAGCAAGCTGCCAGGTCCAGTGGTCAGCCACCTGGGAATCCAGTGCCTTCAACCACCATACCACCTGCCAGACCTGAGTGTTTTCTTCATATGCACTATTGGCTGATGGCCAATGGCTCATACTGAGTGAGAATCCTATAGGAAGGACTCATTTGCCTAATCTTCACAATGAAAAGGGTAACTAGGTGAGCAAAGATTAACTGTGTTGCATGGTAGTATATAGGACTGAGAAATTCACACTTTGGTAAATAAATGATGCCATATTCCTATAGTCGGATATATTTGTCTAGGTTGGACCAGAAGACAAATCCATCTTCATGGGCAGGGATCGGTTTATCCCTGAATGGAGCGTGCATCAATCATCCTGGGATGAAATAGATCACAGATGGCTTTGGACAAGGTTAAGGGGCAGCTTTTTCTTTCTGGATTTTATGGATATTTTGTGACCTAACCTTTTAATAAGGGAGGACATGTTTTTCTAGTCATTTGTGTAAACTGCCAAAACTACACAGAGATGTACTAGAAATCAGGCAGATATGAGAATGGGCTTAGAGTCAGCAAGAGTAAGCCATATTTAGTTATAGTTGTAAATTGCAATTTTATGTAATTTCCTTTTCATATTTCTAAATCTCCAGTAAGAGTTTATTTGACTTTAACTGTGTTGAAAGGACTCATTGGTCTGATCATGGTGAGAAAAAGTGGCAAAAGAGAGTTCAGCCTTTCTCTTTGTCTAGGCCAGAATAATGATAGCAGTCAGAGCATCCAGTTGAGAATGGGCATGTCCAAAGGAAGAGTGTTTTTGTGAAGGGCAACAGCATAGAGAGTCAAATAGCAGATAAGTTTTGTAAGGAAGTACTTGAGTAACTTGTCCTAAGAGAATGTGAAATAGTACCCCAAGACTTGCCTCAATTACAAAGGGCCACTCTAAAGAGGGACTCTGTTCTTGTGTAGGCAGATGGGAGATTTAATCATAATTTGTGCATTAATTAATAGTAACAAGCAGAGACATTGATATGCTGTTATTAAAGTCAATTGAGGCCAGCCCTGTGCTGTAGCAGTTAGGCACTGTAGAGAAAACTGGATTCCACATGGCTAACCAGGATTTGACTTCATATTGGATGTGTACATGTATGGCCATGATCCTGATGGGATAAAGAAATGGAGAAAAAAGGATTTTGGCATAACCAGGCCTCTTTGGGGAATACTTCCTTTCTCTCTTTCTCTTTTGCAGTTTATAGCAAAAATGAGTGAGAAGCTAGCCTGGGATCAAGATATTGTGCAAACAGTTGCAGACAAAGTCAATTAGCAATCCCAGAGTAAAAATATAAATTAATAAAAAGCAGAAAAAAATAGTTTCATTCAACATACACATTTTTAAATTTAATAAGCAATTCAAATGTTTTTGGTTTTATTTTTTTTTTAGGTTTTTGCCATAGGGCCTGTGTGCTCACCAAAAAGAGACAGAGAGCAGGAAAATGAGAAATCACCTTCTAATGGGGATGACCACACTTCAATCTCTTCTCCATTTTCCTCTCAGGATTTTGGTCACACACACACACACACACACACACCACATGGCATGATTTTCAAGCCCCTGGATCTGGGGCTTGAACCATAATTGGCCATGTGGGAGTCCAGAGCCTTAACCACTATACCACTTGGTGGCCCCCAAATATATTTTAATGTGAAGAAGTTTGGAAGACTTTGGATTCAGAGTTGGCCCATGGCATGGTCATTAAGCACAGGGCATGGGGAGCCAGATCCCACATGGGTGATCACAGTTTGAATCCTGGCTTTGGTGGCTTGAAAAGCACACTGAGTCATTTGCATTGCATGTCAAAATCCCAATGGGTCGAGAAAAAAGAATTGTACATTGACTATACCCCATTTGGAGGGGTGCACTCCTCTCTCTCTCACTCTCTCTCTCTCTCTCTCATACACACACCCTCTGGCAATTACAAATATTTTTAAAAAATTCTTCAAATTCAGAATGTCAAACAAGGAAAATCTAGCTGGATTTACTGAGTTGATGAATATGCAGTTAATATACAGAGTCATATCAAATTCTTAATGAAATAAAGACTGTATTAATATACACACCTGATTCTTTCTCTTCTCTTGCCCTTTCTTTCTCTTCTTCCCTTATTTCATCTTCTGCATTAAGTAAGTCTAACACAAGATCACTGACAGTTTTGTAATTCTCTCCAGTTGTTAGGATTTTACTCTGAACTGTCTGTTTTACTAGCCTTCTACTGAAACCCATTTCCAATGCAGCTTTAACCACAGGTATATTCATCATGACTGCATCTTCTGAATGTTTTTCACCAGGTCCAAAGTGAATAACTATATGAAACAAGGAGTATACACATGTTCAGATAGTTTGAATTTTTTTAAATTAAAAGCTATTACAATATCAAAAACAAAATATATAGGCAATGTTTTATATTAACTTTGTTCAATTTAATATGGGCCTCATAGAACCATCCAGTGACATGGTGGTGACGGCAACTAGATCGCATGTGGCCAGCTGCACAGTTCGAGTCTTAGACCTGAGGGTTTGAAAAGCATACCAGGTACCTGTGCCCAAAATTCTGAGGAGAAGGGATTGAAACATGGCCAATCCCCACTGGGCGGGGGGGTACTTTCTACTTTCCCCCTCTCCATCTCTATGGTGAGTACACACTGACCCTATAGCAAAAACAAAAAAAAAAGAAGCAGGGCCCAATATACATGTTTAGACACCAGAATAACAATATTAAATATTTATGTAGCAGGTGGCGTGGTGGTTAAGACACTGGAATTCCCACATGGTCGACCACAGTTCGAGTCTCAGACCTGGTGGCTTGCTTTCTCACTTTCCGTCTCTCTGTCTTTCTCTGGCAAAACTCATGTGAAATAATAATAACAAATAGGGACCAGCAGTTAGCATAATGGCTATGTCGCTGAACTCCCATGTAGCCAACCACGGTTTGAGTCCCGGACCTGGTGGCTTACTGTCTTGCTTTCCATCTCTCTCTCTGTCTCTCTCTGGTCAAATTAAAATAAATGAATGAATGAATAAATAAAATTAAATAATTTTTTAAAATAATAATAATAAATAATTTTAAAAGAATAAATAAAAAATAAAAATATTTATGTACAAAATATGTATTCTCTTATAACTGGATATGTGTATATGAGTAGTAGATACAAAACAGAATTTTGGGCATCAGTTCCCCCACCAGTATTGAGATTGTTTATTCCCAACATTTAATGAACAAATGAGCTTTCTAAGTCAAACACATTTCACATATTTTTGAAATAGGACACTGTCATCTTTCACCATGCTTAGTTTAGTGACCTCCTGTAATATTGTCAACATTGCAAAAGAATAACTTTTTTTTTTAGTTTTGCTTAGAACACACACTTTCGCCAAAGAAAGACAGAGAAAGGAGAAAGCACCCTCAAGGAGGGATGGCCACACTGTAATCCATTCTCCATTCTCTCAGGATTTGGGGCATACATACACATGTGCCTGTTTTTTACTTTCAAGCTGTCAGGTCAGAGAATCAAACCATTAAGTCAGCCTAGTGGGATTCAGCTGCCTTAATCACTGTACCACTGGCTGGACCAAGAATGACTTTTTTAAAAAAACAAATTTGATTGTTTCACAATTCCATTGGTGTTATAAAATTCAAAACTAAATTGTGGCTTATAAATTCTCATACAATCTGGATTCTGTTTACTTCTTCAGCCTCATCTTGTGCCATTTATAGCATTCTGTGCTCTGTCCCAAAAGTCATAAACTGTTGACTCTTGGATCACATTCTGCTTGCTGTGCTGACCACTGTTAGACCTGACCTGCTTCACTTATTTACCTGTTTGCAACCCTACTTCTGACCATACAGAATTTTCCTCAGTTCTTCAAATATCCTTTTTCTCCTGTGTCATTTAAGCCATTTAAATGGTGTTCCCTCTGCCTGGAATTCTCCATTCTTCCCTTTGTCACTTGGTTAACTCCTGCTCTTCCTTTGAGTTCTCTGCTAATACAATTACTTCCTCTGAAAAGCCTTTTCTTTTCCTTTGAGTCAGTTGTCCCCCTTGCAGTCTCATAACACACTTTACTTTCCCTGCCATATCCCTTTCCCCTATCTGTGTATTTGCCTGTATCCCTTAGGTTATTAACTCATAAGAGGAATTATGTTTATCATGTGTTCTATTCTTACCTCAGAGCAAAAGATACACAATAAATATTTATTGAACTGTACACTAGACAGTGGAGTATAAGAGCCTGTTCACATATTGGTTCTGTTGTCTTTTAGGTTTAAGGTGATGAACAAGTCATTTCTCATAGCCTTTGGGGTCCCTACTGAGGAACAGGGATAATGTTTTCTACCCTCTCTATTTCAGAGAAAGAATATGTGAGCAATCTAATGTCATAAATATCATAGTACATCTTTTCCCATGATCAAGGGTTAGAAGTTTATAGTTTATTAAAACTACAGATGCTCAAGCCCCACCCTTAGATGTGATTGAATTCAGTAAGTCTACAGTGGAAACCAGAAATCTGTTAATATTTTTTAGGTGGCAATTCTGATATACTTTGAACTTTGAAAAATACCAACATATTATACTTAATAATACATCATAAATTATATATGAATTCAAATGTATGATATTATCAACTTTCAATTTGGCAGTAATTATTATCATTATACATACCTGGGAACTCTCTGTTTTCATCTTCTGAAGAGTTTGGTGTAGATAACAGCTACAGAAAAAAAGAAAGGAGTATAAATTAAAATGTAATTCCTATCTTTCCCATTACAGTAAAAATGAGTCAACAGACCTATTTAATTTATTGCAGACTGACTTGCTTACTAGCAAAATGACTTTTATTTAATCAAAAGGATATTTCATTTACATTTGACAGTTACTGCCTAGGCCATAAACTAAAAATTTGTGTGTATGTATGTGTCTGTGTGTATGTGTTTGTGTGTGTGTGTGTGTGTGTGCGTGTGTGTGTGTGAGAGAGAGAGAGTTTGTATGTGTGTATTAAAAAATAAAACCTATTTTCATTAAGGCAAGAAATAGGCTACTCCTCTTCAGTAACTATGAGACAAGCAGTTTAGTAATCATTCTCAGATCTTACCTTCTCTGAGTCTTTCTTTGAGATAAGTTAAACCCTATATCAATTCGATTGGCCATGCCTTGGAAATAGTTTGATCCTCAAACTATTATATATAAGTTCTTACTTAATTCTCTAAGAAGATTAGAAAGAGTGATAACGTTCTCTTTCTCAAGTCTTTTTTAAAAAAATTTAGGTAATAAAACTAGTAAGTGTGGGGCCAGCAGGTGGCATGGTAGTTAAGATATTGGACTCCTACATGGCCAACTACAGTTCAAGTCCTTGTCCTGGCAGCTTGAAAGTCACACTGTGCCTGTGTGAGTGCATGCCCAAAATCCCAGGAGAAGAGTGGAGGAGAAGGGAATGTGGCATGGCTTTCCCCCTGTAGAATGATTTCTCATTTTTCCTCTCATTGTCTCTGTCTCTAGGGAGTGCACATACCCCAGGGTAAAAACCTTAAAAACAAAACAAAACAAAACAAACTATTAAGTGCTACTATCCCAGCCATTTTTTTCCCCCTCAGTTTAATTTCCTCCTCAGTCCAGGGCGCTGGACTCCTACATAGCCAACTATGGTTCAAGTCTCGGACCTGTTGGCTTACTTTCTCACTTTCCCTCTCTCTCTCTCTCTTTTACTCAGTCCCTCTCTGGTCGAATTGAAATAAATAAATAAATTCTTAAAAAGAGAGAGAGATTACTAATTATGGATTTATTTTGCTCCAAAGAATAGTACTTTGTAAGGTCATGTTGGGTTTTGTAAAAAAAAAAAAAAAAATGTGGCATAATGGCTATGTCACTGGACTCCCATGTAGTCAACCACAGTTTGAGTCCTGGACCCGGTGTCTTAAACTCACACCGGGCACATGAGGGTGTGTTCCTAAGATCCCAAGAGGAGAATGGAGGAGAAGGAATTGCAATGTGGCCATTTCCCCTGGGGGGTGATTTCTCGCTTTCTGTTTCTCTGTCTCTGTCTTTCTGGTAAGTGCACGTGCCCTATAGCAAAAACCTCTCCAAAAAAATGTGTTTTAAAAATGTGTTTGGTTTTTTTAAATTTTTACTAAAATACTACTCTGAAATTATCAGAAAAGAATCTCTCTGTTGGTAACCAGTGATTTAAAAAAAAGAAGAAGTATCCGTACCTGTTCAAGTAGATGAGGGTAACTGGCTTGAACACGACTGATGAACTCTTGCCCTTTAATTCTTATCAAGTACTCGCACCTAAAATGTAAACAAAGTAAAGTTTGAGGGGTTATTTTATATAAGTAAAATGAAACTTTAGTAACATAAGTTTCTCATCACTAAATGTTTTTCAACACTGATTTGGTGTTTGCCCTAAATTACAGAATCATTTAAAATTACTAATTCTGAATTTAAAGTTAGAAGAATAATTATGTCCTAGTCTAACAAACCCTGATCCTATGTGTTTCATTTTATTTTTCTTTCTTTCTTTCTTTTTTTTTTTTTTTTTTTTGAGAGGTTTTCGCTATAGGGCACGTGCGCTCGCCAGAGAGACAGAAAGCGAGAAATCACCCCCCCCAGGGGGTATGGCCACACCACAATCCCTTCTCCTCCATTCTCCTCTCAGGATCCTGGGCACACATGTACATGCGCCCGGCATGAGTTTTAAGCCACTGGGTCCGGGACTTGAACCACTATCAACCACATGGGAGTCCAGTGACATAGCCATTATGCTAACTTCTGGTCCCTTATTTTTCTTTCAAAAACCTTTTTTTGTAAAACTAACCCATCCTATGTTAGGATTCAGTTTGTTTTCTGTGTTTTAAATGTATATTTTTAAATGCTGTTTATTGCAGTTAATGTGAATTTGATTTGCTACTAATATATTTTTCATATTATTTGAATTTTTATAAAATTAATGTTATTTTATATTTAACATTCTATATTGTGCTTCAGCTGGTTTTTAAAAGCTCTAAATATAATCTTAATTTGTGCAGAGCTAATCTGGCTATTTGTAGGTAAATGTGTCAATTGAGTATAAACATACATATAACCAGTTCACTATTCATTTAGTATATGGAAAGTGGTAAGATGTATTGCAGTAGAAGGTAAGTTAATGTGAGCAAGAGAAAGAATATAACTGGTAATATGTCCAGACCGAAATGGATAAGGGTCATTAGCCTCTCAATCTACTGGGTTGTCGGAAAAGTCATGACATATTTTTCTATACAAAAATGCATCATGACTTTTCTGACCTAATTTTATAGTCAAGTAAAACTGTCTGTAGCTCCTCATCATTCTCTTCACCTATTCTAGGATTTCTACAAATATCATGACACACAACATTATAAACAGAGAACTGGGGTCAGCAGGTGGCATAGTGGTTAAGGTGCTGAACTCCCACATGACCAACCACGGCTCTAGTCCCCAACCTGGCAGCTTGACAATCATGTTGGACACATATGCTTGCGTGCCCAAAATTCCAGGAGGAGAAGGAATTGTGGTGTGCCCATCCCCACTGAGGGTGGGAGAGAGAGTGATTTCTCACTCTCTCACTGTCTCTCTCTGGTCAGCATATATGCCCTATGGAAAAGCTAAATAAATAAAACTGGAGAACATGGAGGCAGGTAAAAAGTCTATGAAATCAGTGATACTGCTCATCTTCATAATAGTTGTAAAAGCTGGTAAGTTACAAAGAGGGATGAGAAAGAAAGAATAAGGAAATACATTTTCTTTTTTAAAATTTTATTTATTCATTCATTTATTTTAATTTTACCAGAGAGAGACACAGAGTAAGAGAGAGAGAGGGAAAGCAAGTCACCAGGTCTAGGACTTGAACTGTGGTCAGCCATGTGGGAGTATCAAGTGCCTTAACCACTATGCCACCTGCTGGTCCCAGGAAACACATTTTCTAATGTCAGCTATTCACAAGTTTGTCATTTTCCAGATAATATATATCCATTTTCAAATTAAAGTACAAAATGAATTCTTCATACTACCAAAGCAAATTTATCATTCATTTTGTACATTCACAACATTGCCACAATGGAAAGCTAGTAGCATTTTTTTTAAGCCCTAAAAAAATGTTCTTTATGGGACCAGCAGATGGCATAACAGTTACATCACTAGATGTAGTAGACCGCAGTTCAAGTCCCAGACCCAGCAGCTTAAAGCTCACACCAGGCATGTGTGCATGTGTGTCCAAAATCCTAAGAGGAGAATGGAGAAGAGATTACAACATGGCTATCCCCCCTGGGGGTTGATTTTCTTTGTCTTTCTGGCAAGTATACATGCCCTATAGCAAAAATCTCTCTTAAAAAAATGTTTTTTATAATCTTCACAATTTCTGCAATAGGTAAATTAGGATGCCAAGTTTCAATAATCGACATTAAATAATGCTAAAAGTCTTTTGATTGTGAAAAATATATAGACCACCTGATTTAGATGAAAAAGGAGAGTATAAAAAATTCTAGTCCGAAGGGTAAAACAGGGACCAGCAGGTGGTGTAATGGTTACATTGCTGGGCTCCCACATAGTCAACTGGGTTCAAGTTTCAGACCCGGTGGTTTAAAACTCACACTGGGCACATGTGTGTACATGCCCAAAATCCTGAGAGGAGGATGGAGGAGAAGGAATTGCAGAGTGGTCTTCTTGAGGTGATTTCTCGCTTTCTGTCTCTTTGTCTCTGGCGAGCACACGCACCCTATAGCAAAAACCTTTCTCTAAAAAAAGAGTAAAATATGACAATAAAAGGCTATGTAGTGATTAAAATAGTTGAGATAGTCATCTCTACCCTGGCCACTCTTTAATATTACAACCTACCTGCCACCTGTCTGTCATACCTTGCTCTCCTTTTTCTTTTTCTCTATAGTGCTTATTACCTTTTAACATGCTGTGTCACTTACTTAGTAGGTTTTCCTTTCCTACTCTTAAAAAAAGCTTGTGGGGCTGGCAGGTGACATTCTGTTTGGGGTGCTGGAGTCCCACATGGCTGAGAGCAGTTCAGGTCCCAGACTTGGCAGCTTGCTTTCTCACTTTCCCTTTCTCTTTCCAGCTTATTACCTTTTAACATGCTGTGTCACTTACTTAGTAGGTTTTCCTTTCCTACTCTTAAAAAAAGCTTGTGGGGCTGGCAGGTGACATTCTGTTTGGGGTGCTGGAGTCCCACATGGCTGAGAGCAGTTCAGGTCCCAGACTTGGCAGCTTGCTTTCTCACTTTCCCTTTCTCTTTCCATCTGTCTCTCAGATCAAATTAAAAAATAATAATAACAAAATTCAATAAGTAAATTATTCTTTAAAAAAAAAAACCTGTTAGATCAAGAATCTTTGTTTGATTCAGCTAAGTATTTTATGTACCTGAAACCCTGACTGGTGATAGGTAATTAGTTAATATCATTGAATATTGAATAATGGAAATATGTTCAAAACATATGTTGTCTGAGAAACATCTCAAAACTACATATACTATCTAATTTATGTAAAGAAATATACATTTATGTATAGAAGCATAGAGAGACATCTAAAAAGATGTTTGCTAAAATGGTAATCATAATCATATTTAGATGGTAAGATTCCTAGATATTTTAGTTTTTTTCTCAGTACTTTCTACAGTGTGTGACTTTGTTTTTATAGTGAGCATATATTTCATATAAATGTATGTATGGGGTTTTTTTTGTATTTTTCTAGAAGGTGTGGATGCTTTTAAGAGAGTGAGAGTGAGACAGAGAAGGAAAGGAGAAAGTATCCCCCGTGGGAAACAAGCCTTATTCCATTGTTTCCATCTTCCTCCTTTCGGAACTGTGGTATGTACATATACATACGTGGCATGTTTTTCAGGCTGCTGGGTCTAGTACTCAAATGGTGTAGTCAGTCATGTGGGATCTTGCTACCTTAATCACAAGGCCATAGAGCTGGCCCAATATCTAAAAAAAAATTTAATCCCATTCCTTTTTTGTCTTAAATCCAGCAAAGCCTTTTAAGTGATTATTTTTCTAAGCAATCCATCCTAAACTTATTCACAAATATATATTTGGAACAAAGAATAAGCTAACAGTTGATTTGTAAGGTAAACATATAACCCATCTCATGATAGTCACAAAAATTTGCAAGGAAAATTTAAAAACAATTACCTTGGAAACCACTTGGCGTGTTCCACCCATGGATCATCTCCAGATTCCCAACACCTCAGTCCACCATCACAGCAAAAGCATTTGACATCATCACTGTGACCTAAAATTAATTTTTGAACCAAAATTTATGAGTCCATATAATTTGCCAATCAAAAGTTTAAAATAAAACATTGAAATTTTGGGGCCGGCAGGTGGCATGGTGGTTAAGGGTGCAGGATTCCCACATGGCCAACCGCAGTTCAAGTCCAGGACCTGGCAGCTTGCTTTCTCACTCCCCACCACACCCCCTTTTGCTCTCACTCTCTCACTCTGTCTCTTTCTGGTCATTCAAATATATATGTATATACATATATATGTATACATATAGTTAAATAATTCTTCATAAAAGAAAAAACCTTTAACAAAAAATTAAAAATCATTGAAATTTCTAATGATCAGATTAAGTTTCTTACCCACATAATAAAATCCTGCACTTGCAAGCTGCTCGGGATGAACTGCAACACTAGAGGGCCAGTTAAAGAACGTTTTAAAGCGGGCTGCAAGTGTTTGCATGGTCAAATTAGAAATAGAGTATCTGGAAGTGTCTCGAAGTTGATTTTCTAAAAATGGGCAGTGAGGAAAATGTCTTAGGTGTTCTGACATAGCATCATCCTTCGGCTCCCAATTGCTCAATTTTCCACCACAAGCGAAGCAAGCCACTCTGTCTCCAGGTCCTATGTAGTAAAAACCTGCTTTTGCCAGATCTTCTGGTGAGAGAAATGTTAGAGGCCACATCTGATAAGTAAGCAATCTGGCCTTTTCAGTATTCATTGCATAGTGGTAAGGACTTGTCCTCAAGGCAGAAAAATCTTGATTTGCTCTGGAGTTTACAGGATTTGATGGAAAGCTTGAATAAGAGCCACCGAAATATCCACTGTTTTCCATACGTGGAAGTAATGAATGTGTGGAGTTTGTTACTGAGGAAGGAAAAGTATGCCTAGAGGTAGCTTCCAAGTTGTTTACTGAATTTAGATTCTGAACAAAGTTGCAGCTAGGATACAACTTTTTATGCTTTTCAATAGGATTGTCTCCTTGTTTCCAGTTGTCTAGCATCAGGCCACAACAGAAGCATTTGACCTTGTCATTTACACCAGTATAATAAAAACCAGCTCGAGCAAGACTTCTTTCCGAGACAGGAACACCAACTGGGAAAGTTGAATATGTAGACATTCTGTAGAGTTCACATGAAAAGTCATATTTCAATTCAAATGTGTCTGCACTTTTCATCAAATTTGATAAGAATATGCTGTTTTCTACTATGTTCATAATGAAATGGATCGGGAGGAATAGGGACTAGCCTTTCTCTGGGGAGGTAGTTTTGTGCATGATTTTTTATTTTATTACTTTATATCAGTAGATCTAATACCTAAAATGAGAAATCTTTCTTCTTTTAGTCCCTTCTATGTATTTAGGGTTTCTACATTCTTTGGTCATACATTTTTAGAGAAAATTATTCACAGCTGCACCTTTGTATAATCTTTACATATATAGTATATGCATGATGCTACATAGTTACCTGTGATGAAAATTTATCACTTGGGCTCAAAACATTTTTGAACTCTTATTTTTCTTACTGTCCATAGAGCCAACATCAAATATAGTTAGAAGTCACAAAGTGTACAGTTTCTAGGCTCAGATGGATAAGCAAATCACACAGATTTGGTTTGGGTTAGGAATTATTCTAACCAAATAAATAAATACATAAGTAAATAAATAAATAAATAAGTAATTTTCCATCTGAACAGCAGAGACCTTCTGAAAATTCAGTTTCTCAATTAGGAATTTACTAGCTACTAGTAAATAGGTTCTATGTCAATAATTCTAGCAATGACCAATAAAAATATCACTTTGGTTTGTTTTATCAGTGATTTGTTAGTTTCCTGGATCTCACAGGTGGGGTTTTCTATTGAGACTTCAACTCTTTGTTTCCAGGTGGGAGGAAAAACATCATGTCCCATTACCAAAGATTATTTCCCTGAAAGGTAAGATACTGTGTCTAACCTCATTATTCCTTTCCTGTTCAAACCTTGCACATCATTATAAAAATCTTTTTATTTATTACTGTCTTTATATAAAATTTCTTTCTGAATGACTCTGTTCATTTACCAAAATGTAATCATCTATCACTCTCATTCTCATCATTCTCAGAGATGACAGCCTGTTTGAACAAACTAAATTTTAGACCTTTCAGTGGTCTTATAAATGAATAATATCTTCACCAGTCATCATGTTTCTCTTTCCTACTTCCTCTAAATTTGTAGTATCTATCAAAAAGTTTTGTTCTTGATGTTTCTTTGTCATTGTAGAAATCTCTTAACATGGCAAAGGTTTTATTTGCATATTTCTCTAATTTTGCAGAGAGTTGAATATTAACTCTTTGTTCTAGATAATTATTACTCATTTTTAAGTCTTTACCAAATACAGGTTACTTTTTTCTATTCTGCACAGCAACCAGTGGGAGATTTACCTGGCCAACTTTGAAAGAAGTACTTCAACAATATGCTCCAGCTGCAATCATTTCTCCTTTACTTCTACAAATCTAACTCAAAATCACATTTACTATTGCTACACCTCATATACTACATCATAATTTTAAGATTAACATTCTTTGGATTACTATACCAGAAACCCAGTTAACTGTTTAATTTGTTCATTCATGCACAAAACTACCTCCCGAGATTAGACTAAGTCCCTTTTATGGGTTTTAATCCTCCATTTTGAGATGTTTTAATAAACAGAAGAAACTGGAAAAAAAATCTTGAAGAAGTAGAACAGTTGGCCTCCATTGGAAACCTGTTAAAAAAAAAGAGAGTTTTAAAAACCAGATATCTCACATATGTAAGACAATAGTATTTTTTTAAAAATAATTATTTATTTAATTTTATTTGTTGTTATTATTTACTTGTTACCTTTACCAGAGAGACAGAAAGTGAAAGACAGAAAGAGAAAGCAGGCTACCAAGTCTGGGACTCAAACAGCAATCGGCCATGTGGGGGTTCAGCGCCCCAACCACCATGCCACCTGCAGGCCTCAGCAATAGCCTTTTTTTTTTTTTTTAACAATAGTCTTTTTAAAAAACAGTTATATAGTTAAAGAACAGAGATCTCAAACTGGTGATCAGGAGATGTTATGTCTGACTTGTACAGACTTGGATTCCAGTTTTCACTAACTTTTTATTTTGAAATTAATTTATACTTAGAGCAAACGTACAAAATAATTCTGTTTCCACATACTCTGCATTCAACTTCCTCACCATAATCATAGTACAATTATAGAAACCAAAAAATTAACATTGATAGCAATGCTATTAATTAATCTACATAGCATTTTTGAATTTCACCAGTTTTACAAGTACATTTTTTTCATGGACCGACCACAGTATTTTAAATCTTATAGTAAATTGCCAACATTTTTAAATGTAAGAGATTTTCCATAACATTCTGGATCCAAGCTTCTCTTGAAAAAAATCAAAAGATCTGTCAACATTGGGCAGCATTCCTG